CTTAAAGAGTAAGAGCCGCTGCTTAATGTTGCACGCAGTAAACATCATGGTGAATTGCTCCATATTGAGCAATTGAGGATGTTCAAAAGGCTCTGATTGTGTTTTTCTGGAGGGGTGGTATTTTTTTGCCACTCTGCTCTGAGATGTGTTCCATATTTTACCATCTAGTTTGTCTTTATGGAGAAATATTATGCTTTTTCAGTCTTTCTATCCTCTAGTGTGTTACACAGGATTTTTTGGGATGCAAAAATGTCTGCAAAGTTAAAAAGCCCAAAGTCTTTGATATAAGAAAACACTGTTCTGTGAAGCTTCTGAAATTCTTCCTTATTTGGCCAGACAATGCTTGTGCATCACATCTGCATAATGCACGCCTGTAAACCTCTTCAAGTAATAACACAAATTAAATATAAACCTGAACATGAGCAGAATATGTTTTTAAAATATCATGGGGATATTCAATAAAAAACTAACGGTAATAAAAATAGGAAGGATCCATGTTTTCACATTGTCCCTGGTCCCTTTGCTCTACTGGAAATAAAAGAAATCCGCAACAACTTTATCATGTTGCCTGCTGAGTGCGACCTGTGCACTGTTCCCATGCTCAGACAGAAAATTCAGTAACAGGGACAGAACCCAGGGTGAAACTTTCCATCGTGTTATCAGCTTTAGTCAAATGTCACTCAGTGAGGTGGATAGACATCAGAGCAAATGTTCCATTTTGTCCACTGGAGTGTCACTAAGTGATGGATGCCTCCGGAGTGAGCCCTGGCTGCATCTCTGCAGCTGCCTGCGGGGCAAATGTGAAAAGCACCGTGGATTTTAGCACTGCTTTTCACGGGCGTAGAGGAGATGCCATGTGAGGTCACACAGGAGTAAATATAGCCCCAAGAGGGTGTTGTGGACGTCTGGGTCCGTGCTCGTGTCAGATGATTCGTCCTTGCCATGCTCTGAAGAGCAGGGGGGACTAAGCTTATTATCAGGGGTGCACCCCCAAGGACAGGACACATGAGGGCCAAGCAACGGGGCCTAATGCTACTGTGGGTTTTAGGGTTTTCCATACTTGTAAAACGGAGATGCATGTTGTGACTTATCTCGGGCGGCATGACAGCGGCTGTGGCGGCGTCCTTCTCTGCCAGCTCTGGCTTTGAAGTGAAAACGCAAACAGTTAGTGCAATCAGTGCAAATGTCACCTACTATCATCTCCAACTTGCTAAATGCCTATTACATCATGTCTGAGGCAGAGCGTACCATATGGTGGGTGATAAGATTTATATATATATATATATATATATATATATATATATGGAATAAAAAAGCGACTCTTATCTCACTGCAGACGCCTTGAAAAATACATTGAAATAAAGAGTAGATTTTTGAGCAGATGTGCACATCAGAATTTGACTCATTGAGCGAGGATGTGCGACTGGCATTGTCTGCTCTGTGCTCGTCGGCCTTCGCACTGATCTGCGTGCGCTGCGGATGATATTTTGTCTTAAGCGGGGATGAATGCAAGCCTGGATAAGTGAGTCTGCTGAATAAATGATGTTTATAATCATAGCCCTGGGTGTGGGCTAATGTGCCCGGGGAGACGTGGGGGGGAGGGGGGAGGGGGGGTTGGGAGGGGGGAAATGAGGAGTTCCAATCATCTGTCCAAGCAAGTCCCTCCAAGGCAGATAATAATGTGGGTCTAAACTGCAGCATGGGTGGGTAATGGGATTGTGAGCACGCCGGTCTCCTGCTGGATAAGCTCCCCTGATAGCGGCAATGACCTCTTCCCCAGTGGCTCGGACGGGGAGTCACAGCGTGGCTATGTTTGCTATGTATGTGTGTGTGTGTTCGTGTGTGTGTGTGTGTGGCAGGTGTGATGTACGAGACAAAAGTGCAGGTGAAAAGGTAGAAGGTGTACACGTCCGCAGAAAGTAAACAAAGGACAGTGGAGGGACAAAGGCTCAGGAGGGGTCATGTTTGCTGTGACAAAGCATTGTGGGAGATTTCAGTTAAACAGTGATTAAAGTGTATGGAGGAGAACGTACAGAAAATCCTTTACCAGCTCAGATCAGTGTTTTAAACAGTGTTGTCGCCGTGAGTCATATACACTTGAACCTTCTCCGTCTCCTTCCTCTTATATGTTTGTCATCTCTCATCTTGTGACTGTTATTCCTCTTTGTGATGTGGTGGTGATTTTTCGAGACATCTTCCTCTTAACACATTGAGTCATTTTGCAGGTTTTAGTTTTTGGGATGTGGAAACAGCTGATTTGTTCTTTTTGCAGCTTTGTTTGTCACCTCTGACAATTCGAACCAGACCTTCTTCAGTAGCTGAGATATTAACTTTAATGCTCATTGACAGCATATGACGTACATTTGCAAATGATTCATTCAAATTTAGTCATTTTTCTTGAACTTCAAAGGTCATCGAGTGAAGTGAGAGACTTAGGCAGCAGGCGATTGTGTATGTGGAGGTTTATTCATCTCAACAAACTCTGCCTAAAGCTTTGGAGATAGATGAAGCTGCTTTCAGACACGAGCTCAAGTCTGGACATCTTCCTGAAATTTAATAAAGGGGCTGTATGAGTCAGTTGCTCGGGACATTTTCCAGAACTTCTCCTGCCAGCCACCCAGGAAAATGGTTGGAAAAATCACAGTGACGGACACAAAACTAGAATACAAATAATTCAGCGGATGCCAGTGTTGCTGTGCTGTAAACAAAATAATAATTTATACATCATGTCCTGCCTCCTGCTTCTCTACCTAGACATTACCCCTCACCCCAATGTTGCAGAAATGTTCCTGTTGTCCCCAAACTATGAAAAACCTGCCGACCCTTTTAAAAAATATGTTCCTCTGCAACACGTTATAAGAAAGACTGTTGGTGTCGCCCGTCTTGAATGCTTATTATTATCTTTTATCTTGGAATCCCTTCTCTGTCCATCTGCTGATGTCAGAAGGTGCAGAATTATTATGTGCCGGGCTGAAGTGTGCGACAGCGTTAAAAGGAAAAAAAAAAGAAAAAGCAGAGCAGTATCTAAATGAGGCATAATAGATGTGAGAGTGACATAACCATGTTGAAGGGATGTAAGCAGCCTGACAGGAACATTGCTTCTAGCAACTCCTGTGCTGCATTAGTGATGATTTTCCAGGAGGCGCTCACAAAGAGTCTTCACAGCTCTGCGCTGATCCTCAGCCAAACCCGGAAAAGCCCCTAAAACAAGAGGAGGCCACGTGCACGAAGGCCAACGCTTCACACATTGTTATTCACAACCCACCATCCACACCGGCCAAATTTATTTCCCTCCACTTAAAAAAAAAAAAGAGAAAAAAATATAGGTCATTCCGGTTCTAAAAATGGCTGCCTCTCCCTGGGGCTTGCCAGAGCATGAAATAGACTTTACATCACGTTAGCTGAGCAACAGCAACCAAGAAAGTTTACTTTTTTTTTTTCCTCTTTTTGTCATTGCCCATTTTTCATGTAGTCTCACATACAGCGTTTTCTCTTACTCCTCATCTCTGGGTTCATGACCTGAATGAGAAATCGGTAATTCAGCAGGTTCGGAATGTGACAGACGAGGCTAAAGTAGAAGAGACTTAGATTATGTGGTTACCAAACACTTAACAATGGTTTCCACCTCTGCCTTTCAGACCCCCTTCCCCTCCTGTGCTGATAAGCAGGAATTCAAAGGTGGATCTTTTTTTTTTTAATGCAAAAGTGCCGGCTGATATGTGGAAGGGGGTCACATGACAGACAGCCTGATTACTCCTGTGTTGCTCCCCCCTCGTCTCAAACCACTGGCAGGTGAATTACATCCGTATCTACGCTTCCTTTGGGTAGTGGCTGCAAAACACAATATGCAAAAAATAAGCTGCTCTCGCCTCCTTTTGTGGCTTTGACAAGTTTGTCTGCAATTTATGGAGGCGAAGTCGCTCGCAGCAAATTGGATAATACAGTGAGGACATTTCTGGGGTTGTATTTGCTTTAGTTTCGAATTCACACATTTCTAGTTGCTCTTCCTCCATGACTATATCGTCTCATTTTGTTATTTTTTCTACCCTCTCCCGTGTCCAATGCACAAAGTCCCTGGTGGCTGCGCCTTGAAATGGCCTCATGTTTATTTAAACTTTTGAGTGTGGCTGCAGCGCGGCCCCGGTGCCTCATTCGTTTTTCTGTGGTGTTTTCTTATAGCCGGCCAGCCCCCGGAGCCATTCATCAGCTGGGCTAAGTGTAGCTACAGCGCAGAGGGCTAAACAGCACTTCACCACAATGAGTGTGACATCAACTCTCCACACAAACCAGCGGGTGTGTCAAAGAGAGGCACAATTACAGATGAGAAGAAGAAGAGGTGGAGAAATGACCATGCAGGGAAAGAGAAGGATGAAAACATGAAAAGGAGAAAAAGGAACGGAGCGTGTAAGTCATGTGGCTTTTAATTTTGGTTTCGAGAGCCGGGCTATTATGCTGCAAGCATGAGCTGCTAAATTAGCAAAGATGACACAAACACACACAATGATAATGAGCAGGAGAGAGTGGAGTTAAAGTATTTTTACATGTACGAGAGCACTCAATAATGTTCGTTTTGTGTTTTCATCATTTAAGATCCTCTGAACGTTTGGCTTTTAAATTTAATATGATGTCCTTGTAAACAAAATAAAAAACCTCCATGAAGCCAAAGTGAATTTCAACAATGATCTCCCCAAATATGGATTAAAGAGAAGGACTCGCATCCAAGTTTAATTGAGAGCACAACAAAGAGAACTTGGGCTGGGATCCAAATAAGAGGAGAGATAAGGATATGAAAGATCAAAACCGAGGAGGAAAAATGTGAAAATAACAGAAATGGGTTTTGGCAGAAACTGACATCCAGCTGTGCGTCAGTGAGTCAAAATTTATAAAGGCAATATCTAACTTACATGGTGAATTATGAGAAGAGAAGATTGAGACAGAATCAAGAAGAGTCCAGACAGAATTCAATTGTATATATATCTATATATATATATATATCTTCATTTATTTCAATATTTAAACCCACTAAAAGTTGTAAATACAACTTTTGAATGAAAGGCACAGGAAAAATCAGACAATGCTGATATAATACTCAAAAGAAAAATTACAGTACAAAAGTGAACAGTTAGTTATGCACGTACAAATCCCTCCAGGTTCCTCCAGACGTGGGATGTATCGGACACAGCGAAGGAGGGGTGGCTTCAAACCCAGATATACATTAGCCGAACTTCTCTTTATTGCTTTTCCAAACCGACGAGCGTCACGTGCTTCCTGCTTTAGATGGAGTGGCTCGTATTTACTTGATTATTGGCCTGTCTATTGACCGTGCTACACAACACTCCACTGGGAATTTAGAGTTGCAGTCACAACACTGAGACGGATGACGTACGAAACATATGGGGCCAGAGAAAATGAGCCTATATTTGTGATTAGGCTTTAATTTTGTTGGTTGGCTGAGTGTAAAAATCAACCTGCAAGAGGCGCTGAGTGTTTAAATATTCAACAGAAATTTCTGGGCTGCAAAATTCAAAAGTGCAGGTCAGAAGCCAGCTGCGGAATATCTTCATTCCCTTTTTATACCTCTTACTCGATGGAGCTCACGACACTAGCGTGAGAGATTGGACAATAGGCTTCATTTATCAATTACAGACATTTAAAAAGAGAAACTGGCGCAGGAAGCCACTGCTCTGCAGTTGTATCGTGTTTTCCCGTCGTCTTAAGAATCACTCCATTTCCCTCCCTTTTTTTTTAGTCCAGCTTTTGCTGCATGGTTAAAGAAAAACGTGTCTCGGCCTAACTGATCATCATTTATCAATCCTAGGGGAGATTCACAAAGCAGTGGGGCTTATGTGGCATCAAGTATTGCCAATCTTTGTCTTGGTTCTTGCCGAAGAGAAAATCAGTATGCAGGTCTGCCAGCTCATACGAGATTGTGTACACATTTCGGTTTCCTTTGGGCAGCTCTAATGGGGAACAACTGGAGGGAAAGGTGCTGTCACTCTGTACTGCTCGGGTTTTTAATATTACATATAGCCTCTTTGGTATAGGCACATCTGCATCAAGGGACCACCACTGTATAATTACCCCCTTTCCTTCTTCCTATGTGCTGCTGTCTCCCTCTCTCTGGTTCCTATTAAAGGGAAAATAACACCCAGAAAAAAAAGATGATTGCCGTATGATTGCCGATAGCCGTGAAGGGTGTTCTGTTTCTACCGCATGAAAAGCAGAACCCCCAACCCCCCCCGCCTCTCTCCGCTCTACCTGCAGTAGCTTGGCCTTCCCTGCTGCCTGACAGCGGGAGATTCATGCTACCTCCACTTTCCCTGCAGTCATGCTACAGAGGAAAAAAAAAGCCATGGCACAGCAAAAATGTAAATGTACCAATCTACTTAAATTCAGCCCTGAAAAATAATAAAATAAAAAAATAAAAGAGAGAGAGATCCTGGGGGCAACATGAGACAGGTGTTAAGTTTCAGTGTTATGAAACACAACAATTCTGAATAGATGCTGTCATGGCCGTGTGATGTTGCTGCTGCTGCTGCTGTCGCTCGGACGCTCTGCTTTGCGTTAGCCTGGGTCCAGTGAAGGATGCGTTTAGGGGATGCGTCACAGCCCTTTCTCACTCCACCCCCACCCTGAAGACATGGCAGGCCCACCCTGGCAGGAGCAGTTACCTCTATCCCCTCTCTATCCTGGTTCTAACCAGAATCTCTTAGTGCCTCGCTGCTCTTTCACACAGGAGCAAAGTCAGGTAAAAAGCTTGAGCTTTAACAAATCTGCTTTGAAGTTGGATTCTCACACTTCCTGATGCGAGACCTCTAACACCTTCCTGCTCCGGTGCACAAAAGGGAGCAAATGACATCATGTACAAGAACCAGGATCTCAAGAGTCTGGAGATGAAGAGTCTAAAGGAATCCAGTCTCTCAGTGCTTAAGGCTGACGCCAACTCCATTCATTACCTGGCTGTAGCAGAGGCGGAGCCAGCAGCTAGCTGTGTGAGGTATTCGCGCAGTTCCTTGGCCGCCTGGAAGCGACCGTAGCGCTTTTTGGGTTTGGTGCACTCGTCCAGCAGAGTCTCGAGTTGTCCATCTTTGGCTATGTGGGCGGGAGGGTCATGGAGGAGGCCCCCGGTGGTGCCCCGCCACGTAGCATACCGCGACAGCAGGTTCTGGCAGACAGCATAGTAGTTGTGGTCCACGGTGACCCTGGAACAAAGGGAGTCCTTGGAGAAAGACAGGCAGGCCTCCCGGTCGCACTCCTCGAAGCGGCTCTCGTACCACACGTCATAGTTTTCGGGCTTGTCTGAAAAGAGATGCAGAGAAACACTTAAATTAACACACGGCCATAAATATATACTGATCATAAAAAATACTCATCATAGATGCATAACATTCATTGCAAACATATAAAAACATTTGATTCATTAGCTGTTTTTTTTTACAGCCTTCATCAGGTGAATACGTAATGAGATCAGGTCTTCAAACTTTGATGAAAATCATTCAAACAAAAAAGGTCCTGAACTTATTTCATTTAATGGGAATTCAGCAACTTTCTGTAAATAGTGTAGGAGTTCCAACCAACCTGCAGTTCACAGGTTGGTGCCTTTCTTTTTTGAATAACAAGATTGGAAACTAAACTGATTTTGAATGATTACAATCAACCGTATGACTGTACCTGACCCAGACGAATAATAGCTTTTTTTGCATTTTCATTGCAAATTACTCCCTGAGAAATCAACCTGACCGGAGGCTTTTATGACCCAAGTGTTTTGCTTCTGACATCCCGCTGCCCCCAACAGGAAATTCTTTTTCAAAGCACACAGCCAAACAAGTCATCTACAATTTCTTTTGAAAGAAATGAACCTCTTTCAAAATTTATTGAGCAAATAAATTTCTTTCTCCAGCTCATTTCAACATCTTTTTCCCCCTTTAGAAGATTGTGCAGGGTAAAGGGGGGAGGTAAGAAAATAACCTGCATGATGAGAGAGAGCTATTGGTTTGTGCATTAAAAAGCAGATCAATAACATTGTGGGGAGGGGGGTGCGGGAGGACCCAGAGGATGCAAACACATAATCAGTGTATCAGCGTTGTAATGCACTTCTCCTCTGGCTCATCAGAACAACTCAATCAAACATCCAGTGCTGCCCTGTTAGCAAGGGGCCCCTGTGGCCCCCTGAAGAGGAGGGGCATATCAACCTCAATCAGAGTAGGTGATGAAGATGGATCTGCCAGAGCATGCATACCACGAGCTTGCACACGCCCGCATACATACACATATATGCACATAAAGCAGCGAGCTGAGGCCAAAGCAATTAATGTTTCAGAGCCGGCCATGCATCACACCTCAGCACTGATTGACAGCTGGCATCAGGAGACTGTCCAACTAACGCACACACATGCACGCATTAACACACATGCATGCGCACACACACATGCACGCATGCACACGCACGCACTGCAAACAGAAGAGCAGGGAGGAGAAGGTTCAAAGTCAAGGACGAAGAGGTGCAAAGCAAAAAAAGAAAAAAAAACACTTTGGAGACTCAAACTAAAAAGCTGAAGATAAAAGACTGAGGTCTATTTTTTCTTTCTCACTGCAGGTCTGAGTGTAACAAACTAAATCAGTTTCAATTCATTTTCAATGATTGTTTTACACCTTTACATGTCTTAAATTCTTAAATAGTTGGTACTGTAGCTGCACATTTGCCAGGTTATGACTTGCTGAAATCCATATTTGATTCCCACTTTATCTTCATACTAAACAACATCAGACCTTTTTTATTTTTTGTATTAAATACTCACGTTATTGTACTTCCCTAGCAACTAGGTACATGTCTTAAGGAAAGAATATTTTCTGATTTATGAGGCATTAAAATAAAACAAATGATTCTAGTTCATGGTTAGTTCAAAAGACTGTGACTGAAGACTAATGGAACATTGCAATTTTTAGCAACACTTGTTTATTCATGCCATGACGCCTCGTTTAAAGCCTCCACAGAGTGATGAGGTCTACCAGCCTCCTTTGTTTCCTGCGTATCTGGAGTCTTCCACATTAAAGAGCTGAAGTTGGACTTGTAAACATTCACCTCACTCCTCTGCCTTCCCAGCTCTGCACTTGAGAAGGGTCATTGGGCCTGAAATACTTGTTAGTGTGGCCTTACTGGTGGCATTCGAGAGTACGAGCTGGTTTTCACAATGCATGCCGGTGTTAAGGGTACATTATTGAATGTGAGAGAAACAGCGAGACTGCGTGTGTGTGAATGTTTTAAGTGCTGCTGCATTTGTGTGTTTGTCTCAGTCAGTGAGCGATCGTGTCAGGGAGAGAAGAGAATGAGCGTGAATGAAGTGTGTGTGTGTTACATTATACAGCATGTGTTTTCAGAAACCACTAGGGTTGAAACCATTCTAAAACACCATAAACTCAATGATGGGGAATGACTCCTTTCGCACCACTGGACTGTGCAAACACACGGCGCATGGCCCGACTTCAACATGGCGTGCATTTTATCTCGCTGCAAACCCATCGCATCAATATGGATGCCCCTGATGGAAGGATGGAACGATGCACGGCTCTCTGTGTGTTTGATTTGCAAATCAATTGGCCTCAGTTTAGACTGATGAGATTTGCACCAAACACTTGAACTCGCTTTCAAACTTGTGCTCTAATTGCAGGGGTTGGATTCTCCGCTTGTGGAGCCGCGTGGGGTTACCGCGCCTATTTCCTACTGCTGTCCGACACGTGGCCATGACCTCGAAATACTCATTACTGCCGTCATCCCTCTTCTTCTTCTACTCCCTGGCGCACAAACAAACAAATCCAGGCCCACAAACACACAAGGAGCACATAAACATTCCTGAGGCTTAAACCCTGAATGGCCACGGTAAGCAGCTTGAGTTGTCAAGCTCTAAATGTGTCGGCCAGACAAAGGGAGTCTCAACCTGGATTGTGCTTTAGGACTTGCAAAGGGCCAGCGTGACAGGGCGGAAAATTGCAGCTACTGGCAATAAGGTAAATATACACATTTTTGAGCGAGGCACACACAAACCCAACAATCCCACAAGAAATGAAGTACAAACTCCAGGAAAAAGAACCTCAACTGCACGTTGGCGTAAATACATGCTGAAAAGCTTTTTGCAATTCTCAGGTATAGGATCTTGTAATGTGGAAAAACTGGTACTTTATCTAAGGATGAATACATTACAATACTTTTCCTTAAACCAAAAAATGTACACAAACACTGTTTCACAAAGACACATACAGGCAGTTCATATCTGGCACGAGGCCCAAAGGTAGAATCAAATGTCAGATGATATGATAAACAATGCTATAATGGTGAAAATAGCCATGTTTTCATATTATTAGAATTCTGCTCCTGACCAGACAGTAATTGTTGTTTTTAACTTAAAACATTTTATAAATCTGAGCTGGAACATTTGAAATTAGTGCTATGCCCTCAGCGCATCAGCCCATATATTTTGAACTTTGGTCACATTGTGATTGAAGAGAATTACATTGCAGTAATTAGTGTTGTTTTAAAAGCCCAGCACGAGTGGAACCTCAACACTTAGAGACAACAGTTTACCACTTAATTGGGATTTCTACAGAAAAGGGACAACTATAAGAGCCCGATTGAGTGGCCACCCGTCTCTCTGAAGTAACCCCAGAAAGGGGAACTCTGTGGTCGGACAGAGAAAGTGTGATGTGTAACTCTCTCTGTTCTTGTTATGAGGGTTATTCTGAGAGGCAAAAGAAAACTGGGGCAGTGGAGATGGCTCGTTATCCCAGCGATCTTTGCTTTGATGGGGACGTGTATGTTGAAGGCAGAAGGGGTGCTGGAGGAGTGTATTCTTGGAAGAGAGGAGGCTTCAAGGATGTGCAGCTTTGCCCACAACCGTCTTTCCCCTGAGTCCTCTCCTCAAACCTCTGTCACTGCCTCATCAGCTGCAGTTGACGTAGTTCACATAAAGTGTTTTCTGGAGAATCGAAGCTGTGGTCAACGGTTGAATCATGCACTGGCTCTTACAGAATATAATTAATGGTTAATTATCTTTTTTTTTTTTTTACAGTTTTCGAGAAGCACTAATCACACAAGGGAAGTAGTCCCAGCTGTTAATGTAAAACAAGCAGCATTTCTCTCCTTACGTAGCTCCACAGGTGGTAATGTTTAAAGGTGTGATCCACATGCATGATTGTGAACAAAGATGAGTTGTAATGGTAACTTTGGGGAAAAAGCTGTATCAGTGATGCCCACAGACATATGGACGCACACCCACACACACACAGATCACATGTGTTCAGGAAATGATGGACGCTGCCACTCACTCTGCTTGATCAGCCTTTTGTCTGCCACAAGAACGTTCTCTGCATCGACGACGATGACCTTTCCATCGCGTGGGCCGACCGCAAAGTTATCAAAGCTGACGTCGAGCAGGTAGAGGGCAAACTCAAAGTCGTTGTTGGTGAGCTGTTCCGCGATGTCCATCAGCTGACGGGCCAAGTCGACCCTCTTCTCCCAGGGTGCGTTGTAGAAGCTCCACAGCTCCTCGCCCACGTAGTTGACAGCTACCATGCGCCCACATGCTCCCAGGTACTTGGCGAATGGCCACCCTTCATCTGATGGAAAGCTCTGGGAGAAGGGAGAAACAAATGAAAACAGAAATTGTTGAATTAGAAACACATAAAAGATGTCAAGCTGTGTAGTGTAGACTTGGCAGCGGGAGAAATACCCTCCTGAGTTTGAAACGCAGAAGAAAAAACATGAATTGCAAGAACCTTGAGAGTGTCAGAAAGTATTTGTTTATCTTTCACACAAATCACTTTCTTAATTCAGAGAGAGAAGAAATAAACAGACCTAAAAATCCCACACACCAAACACAAAGTGGTCATGTGCAGTCTAGGGTAGTTTTTGTCACACAATTCTAAACACAATTGAAAATCTGCTGAAGGGCAGGGTATAACAGATTCAATTTAATAGAAGAAAAGAGCAGTTTGTGGTAAAGCCCTACAGCTATGAAATGATGTATGCTGCCATACTTGGTGCTTCCAGAGAACTGATAGGAGGTGATTTGTGGAAGCAGCAGTTAGCAGGAAAGCCTGATGTGTTGTGATGCAGCAGTGGGGCGATTTAAGCTGCAGCCTGGTGTTGGCTAACCAAGTTAATGCAGCTTTGAAAATCACTTTGTATTATGGGTTAAAAATGATTAATGATTAAGTTAGTACCACTGTCACACTGAGCGGCATCACTGTTGCTGTACAACTACCTTAATCTCTCAGATTTACAACATTTTATTATGTAAATCACAACGTCACCTGTCATCACTAACATGAAAGTGTTAGTAAGCTGCATTTGGAAAACTTGCTCAGGGATTCAGAATGTCTCATTCCATTCCTTTCCATGAGCTCTTGTGTCTCACACTTTTCCTCAACAGATCTTCGTTTTCTCCTGGTCCATTTCATTTCCACAGGCTATCACAATGGAGTGGGACAATTGATGAAAACAATACAATGAAATGTTCCTTTTTCTTGGTCCATATAAGTTTTGCTACAAGTGATAAGCTCCGTTATTTTAAGATAACAGCCCCCCCCCTCCCTCCTGCCATAGGCCTCCATCTTTTACAATAAACACCCAGCCATATGCTAGCTTAATGATAGCCCACAATTCCTATGTAACAAATCTGTCTTAGGCTGCTGTTTCTGGCAGGCAGCCACCGTGCAGCAGACACAGAAAGAGAATCACGAGCCTTCATGTTTCACAGCCGCCTGAGGAGCCCCTCCCTCTCTGAAACCCAATCGTATCAGAGATATTGGGGGGGGGGCACAACAGGTCACTGCAGATAAGGTGTGACCTACTATGACTGTTGCGTCTTACTTTACATTTGTGGTAACGTAATACTTCACCAGCTTTCAATTTCTGTCGAGAGAGAGGCGACTGCGCTAAATCCCTTTAAACTTTAATGAAATACAAATTATTTAGAAACATACATTTATTCAGCCACTGTTTCTCAAAGACAATCGCTGGACTCCCGCACATAGAGACGCTTAAGAAGTCCATGTGAAAAAATGTGGATAGGTGAACAGATGACTATGCAGTAATTTGCAGGTTCATTAGTACACCTTTGACTAGTGTGGAGACATTTTTATCACAGGCACTCCTCAAACTAAGCTGCTCTTGAGCTTCTTTATTACACCCCTTGACAAGGCTATAATTTGCTAAGTGTATTGAAGGCCGAAGCATATGGATCTCGCCTCTGCTACAGTACATGATGGAACAAGCTGATTGCAATTCTAAGCGGAGGATAAGAACGCCTGGCAAAGGGGTCCTTGACTGCACAAACATCCTTGGAATAATCTGACGGATGAAAAATCAAGTTCCTGATGCTGTGATGTTTGATAACGATACAGAGAGAGAGACAGTCTATTACAAGCCTGTTTTGGTTGTGTAAAGCTATAATTTAGGGTCTATCTGTTGAAAGATCCACCACCAAAAGGGGAGGACAATGATGAGTTACATATAGTGCAGTCCTGGTCGAGCCCATTTCCCTGAGGCAAACCAATCAATTGTGAAACAGACAGAAGTCTGTCTAGTAAGCACCAACAGCATCCAGTCTGTCTGTGCCTGACTAAACCAACTTCCCAAACAACTCTCGGACTAATAACCGTCCTCTACATTTTATAATGTAACAAACCAGAAGGAAGAATCTCAGGAAGTAGACGTGTCTCAAAAAAAGTTCCAAAAGAAAAATTCCAGCAGATGCTGAGAAACAAAGGATAATGGTGGGCTGACTACACGCCCACATACTGTGCGCTGGCTGGAAAGGAGACAATCCCAGACTTCTGAGATGTTGCTAGCTAACAGGCATTCCTATATCAGAGATTTTAGGATTAGAGACTTGACAGGCTAAATATCTGAAATGGCTTGCTAATTTTTGAAGTTGGCACAGTTGGTGATACATCCCTATTAGGCCCACTTCCCTTTGACCCAGATTCAAACCTCAGATCGCTTTATGTTGCTGCAAATCTAAGCGGCTCTCGGTCTTGTTGACAAAAGTTAGCCTGTCCAATGTTACGGCTAAACCTACTTTGTAATACACCATCCTCCGTCTCCCATCCCTGCAGGGTGGCTGGATGGATGGATGCTGCGAAGTGCAGGCCGGTGGTGTGTTGTTGAGAGGGGAGAATACGATGGAGACGGCAAACACAGGAGACAAACAGAGTGTCTTTCACCTCTCCGCTCCAGTGGACAGAAGGAATAAACCAGCAAAGACCTGCCTGCTAAACACATCGCTCTCTTTGTTGTCAGGTTGCAGCCTGAATGGGAGCAAATGTAGAGCGGCGGCAGATGGGGGGGGTGGCTGATGGGAGGGAGGAGAAGGATGAATGCCCTACGGCTACTTTCAGACACTGTCAACGGCTGTTATGAGAACGCCTTCATGTCTGTGCAGCCCTCTTCTGCGGTTCTTAACATAGATGTCGCTCATTCACGGCACTGACAGGCTTATTGCGCTCGGTCAGTTACCGGGTTCCTGACGACTTATACCTCTGGTGCCATTTTTATGAGCATCCTTCATTTAAATTTTATATGCAATAATCCTAAAGGTGAGAATTACTCAACAGTGTAGGCAAGCACATGAAGTGGGCACCTGAGCATTGGATTCAAACTCGCCTATTACAGAGGTTGATAAATACTCCACCTGTCCCACCAATCATTCTCCCTTAGCACTCTTTAAATGGTTACTCTGCAGAAGTCATTAACGTCCGCAATGAGGCGTTCAGGAGGGGGGGCGAAATAAATTGGAAGGCCCAGTCTAATATTACATCCACTGCACAATCTCTGAACAGACTTAGGAGGTAATGTATGCGTGTGTGTTGGGACGGCACAGGTAGTGAAGTTCACCAGTCGTCTCCCTATGATGTTATGCTATGAAAAAATGCTGAAGGTGCAAAGCTTCCAATGACACATCACCGCAAATTTTACTGCTTTAAAAGGTCTTATCACTTCTTGTCCCTGTCGTTAGATAAAAACCTTTTATCTCCTGCTCAGCAAAACCTTTGACTTATAAAACCAAGTGTCAAATGCTCTTATTTTCTTGTGAGAATTTCTTGCAGCGTTACAGACATAATGAGACTGGCTCAGGAGACACGAGGAAGTGAAAGTGGAAAACAGACCAAAACAAATTTCTGCTCATTAAAGACGACCTCAGTGACTTCTAGGCCCAAGTCTGACTGATCCCATCTTAAAGGTTGTGCCAGTGCACTCGAGTAGCACTGACAGGGGTGTTTGTGGTTTTCACTCCCCTCACTGTAATACAACAGAAATACTGGCATCCTCTTGGGGGGTTGGATTGGAGTGGGCTGAAATGAAACAGGGCCACAGACAAATGGGCAGCCTCTGGAGAAGAGGATGAAACGAATGGAGCGAGAGGCACAGGAACACACACCTGCGTCCTGACATCTGCTGACAAAGGCATGCCCTTCTTACTGGGCCACTCGGGGGAGGGCGTGGGCGTGTGTGTGTGAGGGTTGGAAAGAGGCTCTTTGTGCGTATGTGTGTGTGTGCGTCTACGTGAAACTGGATCTGAGAGTGTGTGTGTGTGTGTGTGTGTGTGTGTGTGTGTGTGTGTGTGTGTGTGTGATTGAGAACATGCAACGTGACTAGGGCTGATAACAACCTCCATTCAGGGGCCGGGTAAACATGAGCAGCTCCCAAGATATTGCCTTGGCTGGTCTGCAAAGAACACTGGTCCATCAAACACGCAAATACATACACAGAAGCGCACACAGGCAAATATGGTGGACACACAGAGCTATGTTTATAAATGCAAAATTTAAAGGAAGCAGTTGCCTTCATCCTGCAACCACATCTACTTAGAGCTAAAAGGAAATTGGTAGTTTGCCACATAAGTGTTTCATGTGTACAGCCTCAGGGGGGTGTGGTGTAAATTCCCAACATTTTCTGTTCTCAACAAAACCCCATCGCTTCATAGCAAACAAGTTGGGACAAGACTCGTCAAGAGTCTGGGGATCAAATGGTAAAGTTGAGGAAGTGTGGAGGACAGGCACGATTAGTCAGACACACCGACAACAAAAGCAGCAACAAAGAAAAAACTAAAACTTCTCAGCCCTGATGGTGCAAAATGAACAATATCCAACCTGTTTATCAAAAGGAGCTTAGTGTTAAGAAGGAGTCACATCTGTCTGCAATGCTGAGTTCGCCAAGAGGCTGGACTCGAAAAAACATGTTGCTGTTCTGTGCAGCTCTCCTGTTGATCTTGTGTGTCAGGATGTGTGGCGAGCCCCGTCTGGCGTTTTGCTGGCCATTTAAAGTTTAAAATCCAGTCCGCAGCGAGAGCTCAGGCCCCACGGGGGAACCGGTGCTAACTCTTCATCCTGGCTCAACCCTTTTCTTCTTGTTTCTCATCTCATGCTGCTGCTCATACTAAGCCCACTCCCACTTTACTTTGTTCCCCCTCCAAACCCTGCACTACAGAATAGGGGTGCTGTCTGTTCCTGACATAGAAGCCAGGAAACGCCTTCTCGGAGCCCAAAAGAGGAAGAGTGGCTAGAGACTGAGACTGTTAAGTGTATGAATCTGAATTTAGAAAAGGCCCTGCCTCCTTCTTTACCAGA